CTCTCTCTCTCTCTCTCTCTCTCTCTCTCTCTCTCTCTCTCTCTCTCTCTCTCTCTCTCTCTCTCTCTCTCTCTCTCCCTCCTCGTACCATCACAAAACATCCATAAACAGAAAAAGTATAGATGAGCAAGATAATAGAAGGTGCAAAGGTCCCCACATTTGTGTGGTTGAGCGGGAAGTGCCCACACACCCGTAAGCCGCTGAAGCGGCACACTTGCACAAATATATATAGTTTTTTCAATCTATAAATAGTATAAAAACAAAGGTAGAGGGAAGAAGGGAACATACCTAACACCGAAGGCTCCACCAACAAGAAAGCACCGACCAGATCCCAGAATAGTCCGAAAAAACCTGGAGAGCCCCTCCGGGTCAGCCCTCAAGCACAGCAGCACTGGCACTCCTATTCCTCCCAAACGATCCAGTCACGCCACCACTACCTCTATCCCTCCATTGCTAGACTGTCCCCATCTGCTGTCTAGCCTCTGGAGCATATAGAGTACCATAATCCCAAAGAGCACAAGATCTTCACACAACACCAGGGGGGCTACTCACTGTTTCTTCCACAATCTCCAAAATAGCAGTCGATGCGAATGGCCCCCCCGCCGCCCCGGCAAACACTCTCTGAACCTCCTCGCCAAGATATTGTGGCCAGAACTCCGAACATACATTCACAGAATCTCCACGCGACAACACCAAGACCACTACCGCTTCAAAAAACATGGAACACCACGATCGTCCATGTGTTCCAAAAGGGCAGCCTGTGGGCGTGACACCCACTCTCGGTGTGTGTACTGTGTAAACAGTGTCACAGTCTGTCCTAGACACATCACAACCATGTACGCCAAAATGGAAGCCTGTGGGAGTGACGCCCACTTTGTCGTGTGTTGTAGAAACAGTGTCTGTCATTGAAACATCACAAGAACAACCCCATTTCCAGTGGATCGACCGAAGGCGTTATCGAGAGTATGATCTGAAGTTCGTCAGGAGTGTCCTTGTGTACATGACCATGTGCGGGTGTGTGCCTCTGTGCGTGTGCGTCTGCATTTGCACTATACGTGTGGCTGTAAATGTGTCGTAAATTGTCAGCACGACATCCCCTGCTCCACCCAGATGCGTCTATCCAAAATCGAAGCAGCTTTACCTCTATTGCAGAAAATGAAGCACAGACTACAGATGGAGACAATCCTGCGTGTGTCTGCAGGAGTGTCGCTATGTGTCCGTGTGTCTGTCTGTGTGTGTGTCTGTCTGTCTGTCTGTGTTTCTGTGTGTTGTTAAAAAGCACGCCAAATTCTCTGTCATTCCCTCCACGAATCATTACAAACCATCCACAACGAAAAAGTATATGTAGACAGTTTATTACCAAATGCAAGGTTGGCCACATTTGTGTGGTTCAGCGCCAAGTGCCAACACACCTGTCTGCCGCCGAAGCGGCACGCTTGCACACATACATATATATGTCTGTGTGTCTGCGTGTGTAGTGCCATGCTTGCTATACACCACTCCACAAAAAAGAGCATGCCTGTGCTAGACTGTTTCGCCGTACTTTCGGCATCTCCTCAGGAGGTCGAACCCCTTCCCAAAAACAGTCTGCCCAGGTAGACAAAATACAGGATGACTGTGCTAGACTGTTTCATCGGACTCGCACGGACTCGTTAGGAGGTTGAGCCCCTTTGAAAAAAACAGTCTGCGCAGGTGTCTTCATGTCTAAGCATGCGACGTGTGTATGTGTGTAGGCACACGTGCGTGCTCCGTCATACGCACAAGCGCACGAGTAAATGGTGGGGGGAGTAGAAAGGAAAAAGAAAGGGTTTCGTCATGCGTGAGTCAATTTCTACAAAGGACGCATGTACCGTCTCTTCTCTAATAAGATATCTCACAGGTTGTCTCTCATGAGTAGCCTTATACGTAACAACACACGCCTACGCATCCTCGCTTGATGTTAAATAGAGAATCCATGCCGGCGGTCACAGAACAGATCCTCTCTCTCCCAAATAACCCCCAGCAAAAAACATAATTTAATACTGAATTCACAGGACAGGCATCATATGTGCCCCTTGAGACCCATTCCACCAGATACACAATCCACACAAGCAACCGAAACCTTTGAAAAGACTGTAGGTGCGGTGGGACTCGCCACAGACCACAGCAGTAGCAAGTCCACAGACAGAGTGCAAGGCGAAACAGCACACAGCAGAAGAGAAACAAACGACAGTTATGTTCCGGGCCTACGAGTACCAATATCTACAAGTCGTTGCCAAGTACGATTGTTTGTTAACATTTCTTCTACTTCGTCTATACAGTGTGAAAATAGAAAAAAGATCTTCGCTTAAACCCAAGGGTCAAATTTGTGCAAATTCACCTGGCGGTATATAACTAGCATGCAATTCTTGCTGCCGTACCTCTTTCAACAAGACGAAGCAAAACAAAAACGCCTTCCCGTCTTTCAGACAGCACGCATAGAACCTGCGGCAACCCAGCTCTTTGGGCCTGTACATCGCTCCAGTGTTGTTTCGATCGTTCTCTTCTTCGCTCCTGAGTCCTAACCGCTGCACTCCTTCAGCAAAGCAAACCACATCCATTTGGGTAGATTTCAATATTGCCACGGATTCGAAATCACACGCACACACAAGGAACGTAGATGTCACATGCAGCATCTGAGACTTTCGCTCATTGACCGGTCGACCGGTTTACTCTACTATCCTCTCGCTTTCTTCTTGAATGCGGTCTCAACCGCGACAAACTTTGGAAAACAACACAACAAATTACAATACCACCGATTCAATACCGCTAATCAAAACAGAGATACGGCAAAGCGTTTGCCCACCAACAAAGGTACTGTAACTCTAGCGCTTGCGCTTCTCTACTACTTCTCCTCCTTTGTCTCCAGCATTTCCCCCCAGCTCTCCTGAACAACAAGATGAGAACAAACACACACATCAAACAACCATAAACATCTGCAACACGACTCTCGAAGCAGACATGAGGTCAGCATTCTGCAACTTCCTAACCCCCCCCCCCTCCTTCCTATTCTTGCACCACATAGTCATCCCCTCTTCGTCATCGTCACGACTTTCACGATATCCTCCCCGTGCAAATGCTGCTTTGGCACACGGATCATAAGCAGAGCTTCAGCGACTTGTGTCAGACGTTACCCACACTTGTCCTCCGAAACCACATTCAGAAAGATAATAATATATATATATATATATATATATATTATTCTTTCTACCGCTTTCTTTTCCAACCCTCCTTTCGGCACCCCTTCATAACCATCGCTACAGTCACTCCCCCATTTCTCAGTCTTTGCAAGAGTTTGTGCGCATCCAACCACCATGTATCATCTTCAGTTTTCCCTCCAAAGAAACACGTTCCACAATCACTTCTTCCGCCGACTTCCCGTTATTCTCCTTCCTGCTCTCGCATCTGTTCTTTTCCAAACTCCACGTCCAGAACACTCCCTCTCACTTCTCCCATGTTGCTGCTTCTCATCGCAAATGTACCTCCACCACTCAGCCTGGGCTGCATTTCCTGGAGATAGCCACCACCAGCAGATGCACTACGCACCCTACCATCCTCTCATCTGACATCATCTTCTCTTCTTTCTCTAGACCCTACAACATTAGGCTCCATTTCATGCGCACCTCCTGTCCAGCAACTGCCCCTTACTCCCACGTTAACCCTACCGCCGTCCATCCTTCTCTCTACATCCATAACACTCCCTCTCCCATCCTCTGATGTTCCTGCTTCTCCTTGCATTACCACCTTTGCCACCAAGTCTGGGCAGTACCTTCTCCAGACCGTTGCCACGAGCACGTGCCCTGCAACACCGACTCGCGTCGTCTGCTCTTCTTCTTAGCCTACAAGAACATTCTGTTGTGCAATTCATGCGCACCTTCCGTCCGCCAACCGCCCCTTAATTCCACTTCAACCCGCCCATCTTCTTCATTAGCAATCCTTCATCTGGTGAGTACCTTCCATCCTCCAAAGCGCACACCGATAAATGATCCATCCCAAACGAACGCACTATATCGACGTTCGACCCCACTGAAACTTCTCTACTTATTTCCTCTCGCCTAGCACAACTCTGCTTCCCTAACATGCAGAACATGGGGGAAGACTACACTTGCTTTAATACATCATCATGCCATCTTACCACACACGGATCAGTCATCTACGATGCCTCTTCTTCCGTCAAACCCTCTTTTTCCTACCATGTTTTTTACACAAACTACACATCCCCTCCGATAAATACCCTTATCTCTCACACACCTGCTACCTTGTACATTTACCAGGATCAGCCAAAATTCCTTCATCTTCCTGGTTCTACAAGTCATGGCAGCAATCGCAGCAATCGCAGCAATCGAGGCACATACTTAACAACAATCTCTTCTGCACGTTTTAATGCCACACCAACTGCCACTGCTCTGCACCCTGCCAATCGTGTTCCCACGACTACCCCGGCCCCCCTCCCCCGCCTCCCGCCCCCCCCCTCCCCTCCCCCCCTTCGCTTAACCTTCGCCTAACCAACCAACAAGATAGCGGTTCATACCATGCTACTTACAACCCTCCCTGCTAAGCGGAGAGCAAGTCGGTTACGAACCTCCCTCCTCTCCCCCCAAACGAAGGGTTGCCCTCTCCTTCCCGCCGTGCTCACAATACGCTCTCAGTTTATCAACCCCGCTTGGTGTTGCGCTGAGGACAAAGGAAAGGAAACATCACCTTCTCATTCTTTTGCAACAAAAGATGCACAACACTTTGTCACCTAACATGCCGCAATCAAGGTGCGCCGCAAAAGTTATTGCTCGCCAAACGTGCTGCAATTGAAGTCGTTTGCCTTGGCTCGACTCGCTCCATCCCCTCACCCCACCCCTTGCATGACATCCTCAACCAAGGGATCTTCCATAAATGGTCGATGGGCAGAGGAGGATGCACATGCAAAACTTGTCCGGGATTCTGCGACAAGACGTTTCTAGAAGAACAACCAAGTCAGGCACAGTAAACAATGTGCAGGAACATGAGCAGCGGCAAAGTTATTGCTCGCCAAATGTGCTGCCACCGAAGTCGTTTGCCTAGGTTCGCCTCGCCCCATCGCCAAACCCCATCCTCTCCACCCGCCTCTTGCATGGCATCCTCAACCAAGGGGTCTTCCATAAATGGCCGATGGGCAGAGGAGGGCATATATGCAACTTGTCTGGGATTCTGCCACAGGACGTTTCTAAGAGAAGAACCAAGTCAGGCACGCCAAACAACACAATAATGCGAGCAGTGAGCCAGCGCATGGCCCATCTACACATCCTCTTCTTGTATATCACTGGAATCCACCCATTCACACAAGCTGGCAATCCCCCTTCCTCCCTCCAGAGGCAGGACAATAATTCAATTGTGCAGCACTATCCCCCCGCAATGCCGCATGCATGCTGCAAATCCGCATAGGAAGAGCAAAAGGCATGAGGCGTAAAACGCGCTGTAGAATCAATGCGGATGGGTTGGTCAGACAGAAGAAATGAAGAATACAACGAGGGGTACACAGAAATGATAGGTGAGGGGCGAGTATGAGGGGGGATAAGGGTGGATGGGGGGTTGGTGCTTTCCGTTGTTCTGAAGAAGGGCTGACTGCAGATTTAAAAAGTGATCCAATGCTGGGAATGCAACTTGTTGAAAGATCCAGGCACAAGTGGACTGCAATCTCAGTGAAACTTCTCATATAGCTCTTACAAAAGGCCTGAATAATGAGACCGCTGCTTTCCGTATTCTTCGTCTGGTCTCCCTCGCACCTCTTCCTTCTCTCCCACAACCCCAAACACATCTAGTGTTTGGCAATGCTTGCCAATTGTCCAGTTCGATTCCAAACGATGTGTTTGCCTCTGGAGTTGGTCGATCACCACCGACATCTACCAGCAGCCTCTGACAAGTTGGTGAGTCCCTAGAATGGAATGCCGCGCAGGATGCCCGAAGACCGAAGCGCAAACTGAAAACCGCACACCATCTGTAAGGCATGGGCGAGTCGATAAATTTAGCAGATCATTCACACGTATCAAATTGCAAATCTTTTAAGTTGTAGCGAGCGCACCCTCGCCATGTTCATGAAGAGTACGACTTTCAGGGATCCCAACGGTCATCACAGGACGTCGTCTGGCACTTGCATTGGGGAACGACTGGCCTCGTTGGAGACTATCGAGTGCGGGGTTCCTTGCGGATCCCGCCATCGTTCCTCCAGCTGCTCCTGGAACCACTCTTCGACCTAGCCTGTCGAGCTCTCCTGCGCTTCCTCCCGTCACCGCAGACCCAACTTTTGCCGCAAGAGTTTCGTACAGTCGCGTGTATCGGGCCCGCATGCCTTCCGATGTCTTCACCCTCGGTATTACGAGTTGCCGCAAGCCTTCTGGCAGCCTTGCCAGCACAGTTTCAATCTGGTCGACATTCAGCCCCACTAGTTTCCACGGGACAGGCATGATTGCTGGCTGCTCTGCCAGTTCCACGCCTTCGCTGACCCTTTGGTTCACTCCTGGGCCATGCCCGGTCCCAGGCAATAGTCCCTGTTGCACCTTCACCACAAGATCCGTCCCCCCAGAGAGGCTACACTTCACAACCACCGTCGATTGCTTGTTGTTGAACTTTATAGTGCTCCACGTCATATTCCCGCCGTCCACGGTTATTGACTTGTTCCTCGCTTGAGATGTGACAGTTTCTGCAGATCCTTCAGGTGGCATCCACTGTGCAGAGTTCAGAGACAGCTCCCCAGACGACTCTTCTCCCCCGCTAACATTCTCTGGCATCGCAAATCGCTTCCATCCATCCTTCTGCAACCGCAAAGATACATCACATTATGGCTAAGGGAAACAGGGTACGGGTTYTTCCACCCAAAAAAAAAAAAGGAAAAGAAGAAGAAAACATGAAGCTCTTCTCCCCCGCTAACATTCTCTGGCATCGCAAATCGCTTCCATCGATCCTTCTGCAACCGCAAAGATACATCACATTATGGCTAAGGGAAACAGGGTACGGGTTCTTCCACCCAAAAAAAAAAGGAAAAGAAAAAGAAAACATGAAGCTCTTCTCCCCCGCTAACATTCTCGGGCATCGCAAATCGCTTCCATCCGTCCTTCTGGAACCACAAAGACGCATTGCATTATATGGCGAAGGGAAACGGGAAACGGGGTACGGGTTCCTCCACCCAAAAACGGAAAAGACGAGAAAACATGAAGCTCTTCTCCCCTCCACTAACATTCTCTGCTGCATAGCAAATTGCTTCCTGACATCCTTCTGCAACCGCAGAGACACGTTGCATTATGGCTAAGGGAAAGGAGGCACGGGTTCTGCCACCCCAGAAAAAAACGGAAAAAAAAAAGAAAACATGAAGCTCTGCTCAGGCAAACCATCCAGGACCAAGAAAGCAAAGCCATCCATACTCCCACACCAACAAACAAAGATGATACAAGGATGATTAAGCATATGTGAGTTTGAAAAGTGAAAGCATGAGACTGATCTCCGCTCGCCTGGTAGACCGATGTTTAGCGGGTGAAATTGCAGTGTAGGACCAGCGATCCTAGCTCAGTTGGTGCACCCAAGAGCTGTTGAAATGCGAACTTGAGTTAGAATGCAATCAGATGCAATCAGATAAACAGAATAAAATAACTTGGAAGTACATGAGGGAAGACCGTTCAATGATGCCATCTCACGGCTGTCGGCCTTTTTAAATAAACAAAAAAAAAAATGTGGGGTAGATACCATGCAACCTGAGAAACATAATTTGAGAAACATCCAGTCCCCTAACTAAGTTGGTAGAGCACGGAAGTGGCATTCAGGAGGTCGTGGGTTTGATTCCTACGCCGTCCATTCTATCCCCCGCAGCCCCCTGTGGCATACTTCGGGTTCACCGGCTGCGATGGTTGGCTCGCCCCTTCTGGTTGGTTAGGGTCCGAACAAAAACTATGTTGTGCAGAAAAATAAACTGAACAACTTTTGCCTCAGGGACCGATTGAAATACTTTGCCAAATTAGAATATAAAGAATAAAAAATATATTTCGTGTCTAATACGGTAATACCTTTTATTTCTTAACTCGTTTATGGCCCGGCTGGGCAAGTGGTCCCCGGCCACTCTGATACTAAGATAGGCAAGACCAAAGTTGCAGTTAAGGGCTCCAAGGGCGGGGGTGTTGTCAAACCCACCTCAACCTCTTTACGGGCCTCCCTGAGGTACCTCCTGGCCACTTCTCTATCCACTGGCATAAGACGTGATGCCCGCTGCTCCATGTCCTCCAATTGCATCAGCATACTCTTATTTCGCCCCGGACCTTTCGCAGCTTCTTTCCTTAGATCCTGTTCACATCGCAACAAAACCGATATCAGTCACTCAACGCCTTAATTGCTCAAATTGTGCACCGGACCTGTCCTCCTCCTTGCCCCTATTGTGCTCAGGGCCCTTCTTCGCTCTCGCTCTACTACACAAGCTCCTCCTTCCTTTCTTGCCCATATTGCGCTCAGGACCCCTCTTCATTGTTGTCTGTATTGCATTTACGACCCTTCTTAGTTCGACTCCATGTTGCACCCCGTACCCTTCTTGGTTGCTCTCCAGACCCCTTGTTCTTTCCTCAGTCCGTGTGCCTGTCACAAGGGCACCCATATGAGTAATTTAGTGCCTTAGTTCTAGTGTCCATAACAACACCGGAAATTACGTCATTCAGCGCCTATGTGGCCGCAAATGTGGCCGCAAAAACATACTTCTGCACAAAACACACCTGTCAGGGGTCTATATCATACTTGAAGCAGACGGACCGGACGAGCGTCCGGTCCAGTCCGCTTTGCCGCGTGCGGCACCCTCCCCTCGGACCAGACGGACCCGGACCGGACCGGACGGGGCCATTTTTTTTTTTTTTTTTTTTTGGGGGGGGGGGGCGTAACTCATCGTCGGGCGTACATTCGTGCTCTGCACGGGTCCGATCCGGCGGTCTGCCGCACGTGCGGAACCGCCCGGACGGCGTCCGCTTGCAAGTATGGTCTAAATGCTCGAAAATGAAGGAGAAAGAAGGTGGTAAGTGTCGCCCATAAACACCCACAGTAAACAGTAGAGCATGTGTTTAGCGTTTCGTGCCATTTTTTCAGATTAAGGTCCGTATTTCTATGATCAAGGTACGCTTGCAGGCATGAATGAAATCATTTAAATCTGGCATGAGATGAACTTCCAACCCATAATGGTTATGATCCTATGAGATGGCCAGGCAAACTGATCAGACGAACATCCCAACCGGAAATGTAGGTGAAACTTATCATCATTACATATGACTCACGCAATCAATCATATGCACAGTGCAGCAGGATCAGCCTCGATATCAACTCCGCATGTGTTGTTTTAAACCACCACTACCTCACTCACTCTTGGGATTTCCCATTTTCCCCAAAGTTTTTGGGGGTCGGCGGAGGCTCGGCAAGAAGGGCCTTGTGGGGAATCTGGGGATGCATGGAATACAAAAAGGGAAAAAAACAGACGGCACTTGCCTGCCAGGAAGCAAGGAAAGATATTGGGAAAGGCCGTGGAGGACGTACTGCTCACATCAAAACTGGCAACGATGTATGTGACTAATATTGTGGCTACTTTCAATTTTGTTGTTTGCGTTATATTTTTCTTCTGCTGCTTCGTTACACTGCCCTGTCATCGAGGCCGGGTGAATACCACAGGATGCTTACAGTCTGTCACGGAGAGCACACTCATAAAGACTACAACTGATAATGCACCAACCCGATTTCCCGTCCTGAATACAGTTTCAAAAAAAAAATTCCCCTTTCCATATGTCGTCAGTTTGACTGTGCCACTGTAACGCCCTCTCTGACAGCACACTCACAACAAGTACTGTACTTTCTGTATCCACCAGATTCCAGCTGCTATTACGTCGAGTTTCTCTTTGTTTTCCTATTTTTCAATAAAAGATGCAATGCCGAGTTCTTTTTCGGGGTCCAGGCTCCGCAAAAGTCAGCGCGCAGTGAAAATCAGGGTCGGCAAAAACAGGCACGGAGGTAGTGGTGGTCTAAGCCAGCGATTAAGCCACCAGTACATGGCCGAAGCACGCTTCAGAATCGATATCAGCTCATCCCCAAAAAGTCCGAAGGCTCGAGGCTACCGGAACAAAACGGCTGGTGGCGCCAGCCACCAGCCAAAAGAAAAGAAAAAGTGTCGCGCTGGTGTCTCAGCAAAGCTTGGGATGCAAAGCGGGATCCGGCTCGGCAAAAGGACGCTCGGATGTACTGGTGGTTCAAGTCAACAACAATGCAGGGGACACACTGCTTGCCCAGAAAGCAATGTGCAGTGCTTGCCCTCATCTGATTCCATCTGAATTCAAACTGAGGCCTGTAATTCAGCAGTTAAATGTGCACTGCTCATTCTGAGGAGAAGGGAGAATGCAATAGCCACAGATATGCAGAATGCGTAACTGTGAACCTCCATGCGAATAGGCAACGTAATGTTCAGGAAAGCATATTGCACCACCGGAGTGCATGATCTGGTGAGAGGAGAGTTCAGAGGAGGAGGTTGTGAAATGGTGTGAGAGAGCTGGAGTCCGAAGACAGTAAGCAACAGAGACCGCGAAGGACGGAAGCCCCAGACATTTTGAGGCATGGGTTCCCTAGGCGGCAAAGTTTGGAGATGGATTGGAGGTACAGTGATGGATGCTTAGAATTGTGAAACAGCGTTGGGAGCAGTTGTAGGAAGGAGGTGGTGAGAAGCCCGGAGATGATGAGCGAAGAGGTTGCAGTGAGAGCAAGTCCGCAAATGGTAACCCTCAAGACAAATGCAAGGACGTCCAAATACGAGGCAAGGGAGGATGTTCAGAGCTACTGAGGTCTACGGGAAAGCTCAAGGAGCGTTTGGAGAAGTTCAGAGATGATTCGGAGGTCCAGCAGTAAGCCTAAGGCTGAATGCACCAGTGTGTTGCCTGTATAGAATGCCAACCCCTCCCGCAACTTCCTTTACGCCCCCCCCCCCCCCCCCCCTCAGCCCCGCTCTCTTCCTCTAGCCTTGCTCTCTCCCTGCCACACAGACCCATCCAACTGGACCACAACTCAGGAGGGACAGGTGTCACATGCAAGACTGGACTTTTCTCTCCGGCGCAAAGTAACTGCCGACCAGGAACGAGCTTCCTCAACCTTGATTCATGTGCTCAGTGGGGATAGAGAATGAGCTCAGCTCACAAACCACGCAAAGCCAACCTCATCGTTACCTCAGACTGCTTCGCAATGGCTGACAGCGTTCGCAATGACTGGATCCTGTCGTCGTGTGATACCCCGCTGTCCACTTTCAGCTGCACACCGTTTTCCTCGTATGAAAGGAGTGCGATGTCACTTTTCATTTGATGAAGAGCCTGCAAATTAAACACATGGAAGTAGTCAAAATGTCTACAGAATAATTCGAAATTTTGTCGACAAAAAGCCGTTTTCCTGGTAAAAAAGGAGTGTGATATTATGCAGTAGGATTACCATAGTCATCGAAGAATGGATTGAGTTCTTTCGGTGCGTTCATAGTGCATTCACATTAACGTATATATGAGAAATGGGAACGAGCAGAGGTGTCACATTTCGTGCATTCAAATTCACCAATGATAAGTACATGAGTCAAGACAATCCGTGTCCACCGGCAAGTTGGAATAGGAAGCAGAGGGAAACAACTCGAGATAGGACGATGACAGAGGTGAAGGACATCCAAAAGGACAACTTCACATGCTCAGAATTGACATAAAATCGAAAAAGAGCAGTTGTTCTGTCCACCCTGTCAAAGTCTGCGCACGTCTGAACAACTCTGATCGTCTACCTCTGTGATGCACTGATGTCCCATTTATTCAACCCGTAGGTTGGATGTGCATGTTGCCTTGTGCATGCTCTTTCATACTATATAGGTAGCCGGCTCTTACACCGTGTACAGTTCACTATGCCTGCATCATTGCAGGTGTTGCGCAGATTGTCGGTGAACCCAACCAAATGCGGCCAAGCTTGGCATGGACCCAAACAAGAATGCGAGCAGTTGTACGCACAGAATGTATTCATAATATGATGGATATTGACGACAATGTCGCGGAAATGCTTTGACAACTGAGGAGCCGCGCAGTTTCTCATGGAGTGACAATGTAGGACGCTGCAGCGCTCTTGTAATCCTCAAAAGTCGTGACTTCGTATGGCCTTGGCGATAGTAGTCTACGTAGAGCATGGCTTCGAGTGCAGTCCATTTGTTGCTGTTCTGATTCTTTGTAGCCAGCACCGCACTTATCTGCTGCAACCTATGATTGGAATCAATCGACGTGAGCGTTTCAATAACATTGTGCGGAGAAATCCCCTCCAATTGTGTCAGCCAGTTAGTGTCTGTGGAGAGCGGAAGAGGAGCTTCAGTTGCAGGAAGGGAAGAGGTGACGTGGGTATTGATGGGGGTAAGCAGAAAAGGTGGCGGAGTCGGTGGCAAGAAGAGACGGAGTCGGACGGGATGAGGAGCAGGTGGCGGAGATGAAACTGATGCGAGGTCTTTGTTCATCGGTGTTGGTGATGCAGTGCTGTGGTCGTTGTTTGTGCCCTCAGGTGCAGCCTTCTTGGCTTCCAATTGTTCTGTCCGCCATCGCACATATTCTGAAGAAACCCAATGTTTCTGCGGAGTGTATGTGGCAAGCGGACATGACCTTCTGCATGCCCTGGGGTACGGGTTATCAACCCTGCGTTCTTTAGGAAGCTGATCAGCCAGGAATTCAAGTCTGGCGTACCTGTAAATTTGACATGGAACTAAATCATCGAGCAAGGCGTTCTTATACTTACGGCAGACACTGATGAGAACGTGCAAGCTGCAAGGGAACATCAACCATGATCACCGGAATCATACGAAAACAGCCCTATATTAAGTAAGCAACAACAAAGAGAAGGCAAGCTGCAAGGGAACATCAACCATGATCACCGGAGATATGAGCAATGGGAAGCCTAAGGCTGACCGACGAGTAAGCAAGCAACGACGCTGAAAAGATACGCAGCTTGCACACACCCGTGGACTAAGGCAGTACATACCAATGAAACATGGATGAGAACCCCTCAAAACAGCAAGCATATTCGGTACCAAATCAAGGCTAACGGCAATGAGCAATGGGAACCTGAAGGCTGACCGACCAGCAAGCAAGCAAAGACGATCAAAACATATGCAGCTTCCATAGAGCCATCGACTAACACAGTACATACCAATGACAACGTGGATGAGAACCCCTCAAAACAGCAAGCATATTCGGTACCAAATCAAGGCTAACGGCAATGAGCAATGGGAACCTGAAGGCTGACCGACCAGCAAGCAAGCAAAGACGATCAAAACATATGCAGCTTCCATAGAGCCATCGACTAACACAGTACATACCAATGACAACGTGGATGAGAACCCCTCAAAACAGGAAGCATATTCGGTACCGAATGAGGCCTAATGGCAAGTACAGATTATTGAGCGGTCAATCAGGAACCGCAGTGCGTGAATGACCCAGCAAAGACCGATTTCCAGGCAGTCTCAACCGACCAACCCTCCATCATTATGGGTTAAGCAGCAAGGRGCAATAAACGAAGAGTCCTCCATATACCGAMGMGCATAAACCACTGAGAAAACAAACATGCATGCAGATCCACGATCGCCGAGCAATCAGCCACGAGCAAGTCATGTAGGAGCGCATAAAAACCGATCGAGCGATTCAAGTACCGCTGAATGTAGGGAGGACGTATAAGAATTGAATGGCGTTGAATATAATCGACACCATGGCACAGCGGACCGAAACGCAGCGAAGACGGATGTGATCCATGACCGAGAGGAACCATATACCCCGGAACATTTCTATATTAAGTAAGCACTAAGTAAGCAACAACACAAAGAAGCCAAGCTTTAAGCGAACATCAACCATGATGAACAGAGAAACAAGCCATCGGAACCCGAATGCTGACCGACCTGGAAGCAAGCAAGGACGCTCAAAAGATACGCAGTTTGCACACACCCATGGAGTAATGCAGTGGATACCAATGACGCATGGATGAGAACCCCTCAAAACAGCAAGCATATTCGGTACCGAGTCAAGCCTAAAGGCAAGTACAGATTATTGAGCGGTCAATCAGGAACCGGACTTCGTGAATGACCCAGCAAAGACGGATTTGCAGGCAGTCTCAACCAACCAACCCTCGACCATTATGGGTTAGGCAGCGAGCAGCAATAAACGAAGAGTCCTCCATAGACCGACAATGTCAGGCTCCCATGCATTTCACAATGCGTATACGTAATCACTATATGCCTAGGAGATCCAGCGGCCTAGCTCCGTTGGTAAGGCATGCAAGTGGCATTCAGGAGGTCTTGGGTACAATCCCCATTGGCCTCATGTACCTTCCTGGGCAAGCTTGGCACCCGCCACCTAGAGATATGCCCTTGGTCCCCCCGAGTGGCATTGAGCAGAGACTGCTGATGTTCATAGGGGGAGGGGAACGGAGGGGAGGCACAGTGACTGGCCCATCGAAGAAGGTCGGTCCTGATGCTACCGCCTGACCCCCGTCCACCTGCTGTAGCAGGTATCCCACCTGCTAGTGGGTGCAGCTCCGGCATGTTCCCTCGTTGGAGGCTTGAGCACGGATGTGGCTGCTACGGGGTTCCCCGTAATACTATAATGGCAAACCTGCTAGTGGGTGCAGCTCCGGCATGTTCCCTCGTTGGAGGCTTGAGCACGGATGTGG